AATGTACTCGTGAAATGAAATTGCGGGAGAAAGGAAAAGGGAAAAAAGAAAGGAGGATTTATCCACCTCAGCCCCACTGAATGCTACATATAGATAATGATTAGCGTGTCGTGAGTAACCAGACGAAGAAAGAAACGGGTCGAGGTCGTTCGTGCTCTGAATAAAGCTATAGTAATTGTATGCAATTACACGTGGCTTAAGAAAAAAAAAAATAAAATTATCAGCGGCACCGATGATTTAAAAAAAAAAGCTTTTAATATAAATTGGCCTTGATTCAAAGTTACAAATTATACGCAAACTTATACAGTTTTTATCTGTAGACTTAATTATGCAATTGCAAATGGATGCTCGATGTGGTTTGACTACATCGGTGGATCGTAAATAATAACAGTAACGTAAAAAATACTGATATAACGCTTGAAATTTGATTTTCGGAAAAATTAAATTCGAAAATTCATTATTCGTATATTAAAGAATATAGGAAAATAATAGAGCCTCGCAATTTCATTTGTATCTATGTGTTATGAAATGATATTATTTTAAATAATATTTTAAATTATCTAACGTACGTAATTATTTTAAATAATTTGATATAAATTATTTGATATATGTATACACTTTAAAAATATCATCTCAAATGTATCTATTTATGCGATATTTATTGGATTCAAGAAATCATAAAACAGATAATTTATTTACAACAATTGATTGGATCAATTACATATTATTCGAACGATTATTCAAATGAAATATTTGAAACGAATAATTAATAAATGTAATATACTTTATAATAATTAATAGTTATTTATATATATATAACAAGTTATATCTCAACTATAAATTGTAGCTTTAATTTGACAAAGATGAATGAAAATGAATTTTAAAAGCGTTAATTTATTTGCATAAGAAAATATTCTTCTAATGGATATTAAGTATTCCAACGGATTAATGGATGTCTATTTGCATCGATGCAACATTATAACATTATAACATTATAACATTATAACAAAAAGTTGTTTCTTATTCAGTAAATATTGAATTTTATAATGAGCAACTTGGAAAATAAATGAAAAATAAATAATGATCACTTTACCACGTTAAAATCAAAATAAAATAAATCGAAGACGTACTATTATATGAAGGACATCTAACTTCACGTTGCGCTTCAAGGTCCTACGAGAGAGCATGTCTGTTCTTTTTGTTCCGAGTCATTATTACTCGATGACCTCGCGTTGCATTTTTACCGGTCAATGTCCGGTCAGTGTACAGCCACTCCTCTTTTATTAGAATTGCAACACGAGTCATCCTCGTTCGCTCTTGTTTCGCTCTACGTTCCTTTCTTTTCTTCTCTCTCTCTCTC